GCACCTCACCAAGGCTGTGATGTTTTTTCAGTACCTGGCTAGCTACAGCTAGATTTATAATGGGAAAGGTTTCCACTTAGTAGAAGAAATACCTGTTTAAGGAAAATAGTATCAATAGTATCCACGCTGCAATCCATCCATTATCCTTTCATTTATGCACTTTTCTACAATTAAAAAACCCAAAAACCCTAAAGCTGTGCAATGTTTAATCATAGGATTTAAGATATTCTAAGGCCTTTACCAAAGCAAAACAAAATAGTCTATTGACCCTTGTTTTTGTGAAGTTATGCTTTCCTGTCTGCTCATGACTGCAACTGCTTTCACAAGCAAAGACAAATAGCAGGATTTCACCATGGATTTTTAAAAAATCCACTCTTGATTGTAGAAGTGATGTAGTTAAATTTGAGTCAGAAAAGCCTAAGAGCATATGAGAGGCTCTAGGACAAAATGTTTTGAGTGTTATAGAGGAAGTAATTGGTAAGGAAGTCTTCACAATTCTAGTTGAGGGGTTTGGTTTTGTTTGGTAAGTTGGAAGGATGTCATATCTTGGAAATAATTTTCAAAGCATACTGAATATGAACCTGTACTAGCTATGAAACTGGCTGTTTAGTAGATGTTTAGTGTTAGGAAAGGGAACTAAGACAAATACAGTCACTTTCCAATCCAAACAAGTTCTCTGGAGCTTGGCATCTTAATTATACTATCTATTCGAGTGAGTGTTGATTCCTTGTGCTCAAGAGCTTTCTGGTCTGTCAGAATATTTTTCTCAGCATAAAAGAGCTATATGAGGGGCAAAGTGGGCTGCTGGCTTCTCCCTGACAGTGCTGTAAGGGGAGGGGCAATGTTTCTTTTTTTCTTGTTTTCTTCCTTCTTTTTTTCCCCTCTTGCATCAGCCCTCACTTGATTCTGACTGAGGGTTCCTTGTAGGGACCACAGCCCATCCTCTTTCCTCTGCCAGCATATCAGACCTGTTCACCAGATGCTTCAGCTGGCTGCTGGATGAAATCCTGGGGTCTGGGAAGCACCAAGTGAACTACAACCCATTCTTTTCTGTAGAAAGCTCTGTCATTGAAAAAGACTCGAACTTAATGTTTGATATTCACAAGCATCTGTTAGGCTTCTGGCAGCTTTTTTGCTGTACTATTTTTCTGTGAAGATATCCTCCTACTGGTGATGACATCTGTCATCAGGAGGGGAGAGAGAGAGAGAAGCTGTTACAGTTCATTCTTTTAGCAACTTCTGTGCAAATGCATCTTCATTCCTTCCTAAAGAAGTTTTGAATTTTACCTCCCACAGGGAAAAACAAGTCTGTGTGAGATCACCTTTGCACTCAGGGAATACCCTTCAGGAAGTAAATCCTGTCCTGCAGAAAGCTCCCCATTGTAGCTGAACTGACATTTCATAGAGAAGGAAGATAACAGGACCTGTCTGAGGCCTGCTACGAGACTCCCGAGGCAGAAACCCAAAGCTCTAGAGGCAAGGAAACAAACTGAGGCAGTGGGGGGAAAAGGGGAGGTTGTGATCTCCCCTTCCCACAGATCTGTGCATGCCTGTGGTGGTTAAAGCACCCTTCTAAGAATTGAGGGTAAGGTTGTTTTGTCCTTTCCTTCAGGAGCAAGGAGATCAAATTGCTTACGATTAGGGTGGCTGTTCTAACATGCACAGTGCATGTTAGGTTTTGTGTGGATAGATGGGCTTTGAGGACCCAACTGGAACACTAACTTTGTGTATCCTGATAAGGATGATTAGTAAGAGGCTGGTTTGCCCTGTTAAAATCTGAAATGCTTCTGCAAAAGTGCACAAGTAGATGATTAAGTGGCTTTGGGTCCCTCTCACCCAGGTAGCCAGTGCACAGCAGCAGTGAGGAGCTCTGAATGCACACATTCACAAGTGGAACAGGGATCTGGCAACTGGGACTGCAATACAATTCTAGAGGCATTTCAGCTCTGCAGGAAATTCCTAGTTTGTATTGGGGTTTTTGTTGTTGTTTTTCTTGGGGTTTTTTTATTAACGCTTGATGAAACTTTTATAACTTTCTCCTCTAGTACATACTTTGAAACAAGTCTTGAGTGTTCCAACATTTACACTTTATTCTTGCCTCAGCCCAAAAAGCAGTCAAGCTTTTGGAAGTTTTGAACAGCAAGTGTCATCTGAAAATGCACAGATGAAAATGCCAACTGCGACACAATTCAAACTGCAACTGCAATGGTGGTGCAACAGCCATCTCTGATTTTATTTTAAATGGCTCAGAATTTTCACCACTATTTCACAATTAAATTGCAGTGCTAAAAAAGTCACTGAGGCCACAAGAAAAGGTCCAAATGTGCACTCCAGTGGAGAAACAATCATTATTTATTTTTGGGTATGAATTCCTTTAAAACAGACTGCCTTAATGCTGTCCCCAAGAAGTCTAGAGCACATTCTCTCCTAGGCCTTCAATTCACTTTTACAGCTCCCCACAGGCAGCAGATGTTAAAAACACACTTCAGTGTTCTGGATAGATGCTTTAACCTTTGAGCTGTGGATGGAGAACAAAGCTGTGGGAGCCATAGCTGATTTTCCCTCACTTTTACAAAATGGGGATTCTTTGGGTATGGCTTTTTTTGTGGGAATGAAATGATGTTAGCAAGGCTGAGCATCAGCTGCCACTCACCTGTACCTGAAGCAGTGCAGGATGTAAAAGAAGTTCTGCTGTCAGCACTTCCCTCTGCTAAGTCCAAACAGTTTTTTGCTGATATCTTTGAAGAACATTTACTGTTAAGCAGGTAACTGCTAACTAGGACATGATTTAATTCAGGGTCCTAATTCCACAGCAGGTGCTTAAAAGACCTCCATTACAGGCATTTCAACTCAATGTACCAAATACAAATACACTTCACTAACTGCTCTAACACTATAATTTCTGTCAAGATAAAAGCACTTTTTTATTCAAGAACTTATTAGGATTGCTTTTTAAATTGGATCAAAAAAGCACAAGTGCTACAAGAGCAATTTCTGGCTGGAGCAATTTTCAGTTTATTGCATTAATGTAATAGTTGGAATGCCAAATCAAAGGGAAGTATTTTCATTCCACAGCAAAAGCTTTGTGAAGAAGTTTCAGCTAAACTAAACAGCTGACCTTTAGGGCAGCTACAGAAAATCCTTGCAGAGGTGACAGACTTTGCAGGTTTTGTCTGCTGAGCACAGCAGCACACTGTTAATGTCAGCTGCTGTGTCCTGGTGCTTCTTTGCAAGGCAACTGCTCAAGCAAGGATTTGGAAGTAGAAAGTTCAATACAGACTGCACAAAAAAAAACCCCAAACAACACACCCCATCCAAAAGCTGAAGAATGACCATCTCTATGGCAACTAAAGCACTTAGCATGCTCATGCCTCATGTAAATTGGCACAATTTTACAAATGAAGTTGCTAGAATCCCGGTTAAAGTAATGTGAGTAAAGTATCTAGAGACCAAACAGTATTTCAGGTGTTAATACTCAAATCATCATCTATTACTAATTGCTATTGCACAGGGGAAGACTGCAGACAGCACAGCACTATGGGCTGAAGAAACCAGTGGCTGGCTGTAGTTGTGTATCCCAGCAGGGAGCTGGGGTGGTCAGGTCGTTAGTAAGCTTGTCAGGTTGATTAGCCGTCAGAGGCAACACCCAGTGTAGTCTGGGTAGGGCCGAATAGGAAATAACACCTTCACCGGTTGTGTAACTTCACCCTCAGGCTGGGTATTGTGCAGCTGAGTGAGCCGACTGCGGCCTCCAGGAGGAAGAAATGCCGCAATCGCCTTTACAATTGTTGGCTCTGGTGCTTGTCTGATTACAAGATAAGATGATCCAACTCACACAAGCCAACAAAGGAGCATGGACTCCTCACCCATTAATTCTCCTGCTAGCTGAAGTGAACATCAGTGTCTTGTCAGGAGCACTGTTGGCCTGCTTTCAGATGTGGCTCGGCAAGTATGCAGACAAGTACTAACTTGGTAAATAGCTTGCTTGCTAAAAAAATGCCACAGTCCTGAGGATCTTTACTTGGAAGTCACTGCTTCCACAAATACAATATAGAATCATCTAGGTTGGAAGAGACCCTTAAGAGATCATCCACCCAGTCCAACCATGCACCCAGCATTATCACTGCAACCCCTAAAGCATTAGACCTAATCACCCAGTACCAGATCCAGACACCTTTTGACCACCTCCAGGGTTGGTGACTCCACCACCCCAGGCAACCTATTCCAATGCCCAACAACACAGAGTGAAAAGAAATTCTAATATTTAATCTGAATCTGCCCTGTCTGAGCTTTAGGCCATCTCCTCCTATCCTCTCACTGCAGGCACAGCAGGAGAGACGAACCCCTCCCCACTGAGCCTGAGCCGCCCTTCCTGGAGCTGTGGAGGGCACTGAGGCCCCTCCTGAGCCCTCTCCAGGCTAAACACACCCAGACCAACATGCCAGCCCCAACTTGATGCGATTTGCAAATTTGCTAGCAATAGACTCTAAATGCCCTCATCTAGATCATGCCACAAAGGAGTTTCAGCCTCTTTGTTCTTCACTAATCCTCATTATTATTGATACATCATTTAGAGATTCATTACAAAAGCAACTGCCCTCATGCTTAAGAAGAGTTCTAGTTCTTTTACTTTAGAATAAGCTGTGACCAATTTTAAACCCTTGCATTCAAAGGAACACTGTTTAGAGCTCTTCTTCACTGATACACATAAAATGTGGTCAGTGCCTGTGAAGAAGGCCAGCAGCAACACTTATTCCAGCTCCTCACCACAGGGCAAGCCTGACCCACCACACCATCACAGAGGAGTACTTCATGAACAAAACACTCCTGAGACAATCAAAGAGCAGAGCATTTTTCAGAAGGCTGTCACCTAATAGTGTTCCATGCAGGTTTTAGTGCAAAAGCTTCTTACAAGATTATTACCTAATTTGCAGTCTTGAAGTTACAAACCACAGCTGATAGCTACTTTTGAGTGTACTTACTCAATAAATCTCCATGAAGCAGATTTGCATTCAATAGTTTATTTAGAATTGTAAAAGGATAGGTATTACATACTTTGAGTAATTGCATATATGTTAGAATCTTACTTACTCAAAAGACTGGTGTGTGCAAAGACAAGAAAGTCGTGCTTAGATTTCCCCCCAGAAGTTTGTTGCTTTAGTATTTGTTCCCCTGTTCAGTAAAATTTCCACAGAAACAGAGTGAGGAAATATAGACACAGAATAGCTATAGTTATTGAAGTGTATGAAGACAGTCCAACATCATCACAGCCCCTACAGAACTACTGAAGGTACATCTGCCTAGGCAAGAGTTAGAGCAAACAGCAACAAGCCAAGTTACAGGTCACTCAAGCCATTTGTATTTATGGCTTGTTATGAACAAGCAAATTGGTGTCAACTCCATCACATCATTCCAAAAGATATCAATGGGGTAAATATACACATACACAGTTTTTGAAAAGATACTTGTATGTATATACATTTTTAAAATAAGGCATGTATTTATTTCAGGCTCTTAAGACATTTTCCCACACTCTTTTCCTATTAATACAGTATATGTTGCCATTTTATTGCTAAAGAAAGCATACCATCATTGCAAGCAGAACAGCATCAACACTGGCCTTTGTCAGCAATCCAGTTCAGTTAACAAGGTTCAAGACATAGATTAACACTATATAAGAATGTTACTGTTACAGAAGTGCAGAAGACTAGTTGATTTCTATTAAGATTGTACCAAATCATTCTCTTGACATAGTCTGTAGTTAACTTTATAGGCTAAAAAGCAGAACAGTACCATTCTGGAGCAACAGAAAGAATACCTAAGAGTACCTAAAATTCTACTTCCCCATCTCTACTTAGCTGTTATATTAAAAAATACACAAGGGAAGGATGACTACACGACAAACTTCCTATTCTGCTCTAACAATGCTTTCTTCTGCAAGAAATGATGCAGGACTTCTGAGCTCATCCAGGGGTAAATCCTAATATGAATGAAAATGCACACACCATTATCACTGTGTAACTAATAACAGTTACTTGTCAGTGTGACTTACAAGGAGCACTCTCTAAGTTTTTTGTCAGCCTGCTTCAGGGAGATCCAGGTGTTTAACATGTTTGATCGCAGTTTGGCCCACACTAAATGGTTGTTTAGCCCAAATATCTGGGCAGCAAACTGGGCAGCTCCTTCAGGTGACAGAGTAGTGGGACAGCTAAGACCTGCAGAGAAGAGAATGCCACTTACTAAAGCATAGTTTCTAATCAAACAAAACATTTTCTTTGAAGAACAATTTAAGACAAGGCTTGTTTCAGCCTCCAGGAGCCACATGACCAGTTTTAAAGCTAATGACGTGTCACATGTTCCATTACTTTTAATTTGACTGCTTTGTGGCACTTCACACCAAAAGCCATCCTGCAAATGACTCCCTTATATAAAGGTAACAGATTTCTGGGCCTCCACTGGAGTTACTAAATTAAAAATAATACAGGTAAAAATTAGTAGTTAAGTGTTGAGGTTTACCTACACTGATTGTTGAGAAAGATACTATTTGATCTTTGATCATAAGGAAAATGCATCAAAATTCAATTACTTAAATTCCCATTAATATTATTTTCAATTTCAAAATAAAAAGTTCAGCAAGGATAAGCCAAGGCTTACTTTTTTAAGGATTATTTCTATGTAATCTTTGCTGTGTCTGTTGGGCTTTTTGCCATTAAGAAGTCAAAGCCTGCATGTAACAGATTTCCACACGCTTTGCTGATCCAGCTGGTTTTCCAATGCTTTGCCCCTTGTGTGTACAGTACAATAAGAACAGAAAAATGGAGCTAGATCAGAACAAGAGCATAAGTTGAAGATCATCTTACCACTGGGTAGTCTGAGAGAGGACCACACATCCTGAGTGCCCCAGTCAGCTGAGAGTGGAGGGCAGTTGACAACTGGGTAAGCAGTGTTACCAGACATCACTGGCCCCAAGCCATTGCTTCTGCCAGCCACTGCAACAAACACTGTTGGGATTCCATCTCCTGGGGAGGAAGACATTTGGAGATAAGCAATCCCCCTTGTTCTCTACCACTTGCTTTCATGGAGCTTTGTCTGAGTTCATAGCTGTGTTTGCAGTCATCTTTTCAATTCCATCACATGGCACTAATATTTTGTGTCCAACTTCCTCTTTTAGAGAATTATCTTCTAAGAAATCTTACATCCTTAAATCCCAGCTATGTTTACCAGACACAGCTGAAATTAGCATTTCTTACTCTGCCTCTGAGGGGAAGTCTCTATCAGAGGAAGAGATGCTGGTAAACTTTACAAAGAACATAGCCATTAATCCTCTGGCATCTGTAAGTGTTCCTCTCCTTAAATCTGAAACAATTCACCTCAAAGTAAGTGTTTTAACTATGATTACCACATTTGTAGTTTCACCAAGTAGAATGGTATGCATAGAATGTGTATACTCCCACAGAAATAAATAATTCCTGTATCTCCTCTGCTAGGCTAGACACACTTTTGAAGAGATGTTAAGTCTTCTTGGCAAAGAGAGTAATTTAAAGCAAACATTTTTTTCTCACAGCATCTAAAGTATTAAGCAAGAATGTTTTCATCAAACAGAAAAAACATGGTGGAAGCAACATCTGCCTAATACAACACATGAGAATATTCAGTCAGTCAGAGAAAATGTTGTCCTGCTTTGTTTCAGAAATGCTGGCATCACCAGAAGGTACTACAGTAAACCTATTAACATGATCAGGGCTTGGGCAAAGCATTTCTGATACTGAGATAAAAGCAGAGGTACACCTTTGAGTAATGGAAGGTGTGGCAGCACAGCAGGACAATACATTACTCTAAAATTACCTAAAGCAGTCATGCTACTAGCAACTGTGAAACAACTGTAACACAGCTTGCTGTTCTGTTTAACAAAAAAATGGAAAAACCCCACATCAATCTTTTAAGTTGCCAAGTCATTTTGAAACATGATGCTGTGTCAATCCAAAACAGTATTTCTTGGCATTTACCTTCATATTCTGCTTTGATCCTCAGGGTTTCATCTGGCCCTTTGTGAGCAGAAGTCACTCTTAATTCACAAGGAATTCCAAAGGTTGCACATGCCTTTTTTATTTTTTCACAGTGACTGAGGTCAGAAGAAGATCCCATTAACACCACAACTCTACTTTGGCTCTTTGTTTTTAGAAGCAACTAGAGAAAACAGTGGAGAGGGAGAGGAGAAATAAAAGCAGTCAACAGGATTGAAGGCACACAGTTATCAAAGTCTAGATGTGTTGTTTATAAAAACAAGTACCTCCACTCTTTCTGAAACCCATTCAAAGTTTCTCTTAACCATTTGCAGTGCTTCAGGAGTCACTTCTTTCAGGTCCCGATAGGACTGGAAAAAGGAAAACAAAAGCATTGAAGTGTTGTGGTTAAACCCCAGGCAGCAGCAGAGCCGCACACAGCCTCTCACTCACTCCCCCACCAGAGATCAGGGAGAGAATCTGAAAGGTAGAACTGAGAAAACTCATGGGTTGCAATAAAGACATTTGAACAGGCAAAGCAAAAGCTGCACGCACAAAACAAAAGAAGGAATTCATTCCCTGCTTCCCATGGGCAGGCAGGTGTTCAGCCATCTCCAGGAGAGCAGGGCCCATCACACATAACTGTGACTTGGAAAGACAAACACCATCAATTCCAAAAGTCTCCACATAACCATTTCCTCTTCCCCCACACTTTATATACTGACATGACATGGTCTGCAATACCCTTTTGGTGAGCTGGGGTCATCTGTCCCAGCTGTGTCTCCTCCCAGCCTCCCACACATCCCCAACTTCCTCACCAGTGTGGCAGCACCAAAAGCAGAAAAGGCCTTGGGGTCTGTGTAAGCCCTGCTTAGCAGTAACAAAAACATCTTTTTATTATCAACCTCCTGTTCAGTACAAATTCAAAACACAGCCTCATATTAGCCACTGCCAGCCAAAACCAGCAGACAAAGTTAATATGGTTTGGGTACACAAAAGACTAATTTTGCTACCATAATTGGTAAGAATTATTATTATACCTCAAATGAAATATTTGCACAGTTTCTAGCAATTCCAGGCATAAACAGCCTTCTACATTGCAATTTATGCCCATGTACAACACAAAAGACTTTCAGCCACAGGGATATTAAGATTTTGGAAGCTTTCCACAAGGAAAATTTAAGGAAAAACATACAACTTCTTTAAAATTGAATTTCTCATGACACAATTGCCTGCACAATTGCACTGTACCAGTCTAAGTTCTACATGATATTATCATGTACCTTATTTTAGGAGACTGTCAGAGCAATTCACTCAAGCATGCTACTACATAATTCAGATCAAGTCAACAACAGAGCAGTTTTTCTTCCCAATTTAAAATTAATACTGTTCCTCCCAGGTACACTTTGAAATCTTCCCCTGTGGCCTACAACACTTTCTCTCACAGGGTCTCTCACATGTTGTCTCAACAACCATGACAAACTCCTGGCAGCAGCATTCCCAAACCAGCTCCTTCATAACTTGTCACCTGGTAATTCAGAGATATTTGTGAAGTGTAAGTTTGAAACAGAACTTGTCCTATATTTAAACTTGCTTGCAGGCCTCATGTGGGCACAGGCTATTAGCAACACTTTTGGAGGCAACATTATTGAATTCATGATTAACTAAAATAAATAACAAAGAAAAGCATCCTCACTGCAGTTCCATCTCAAGTATCAGCATATCTCTACTAGTAGAGGATAACAGTAATTAATCTCTGAATAAACTGAGAAACTTGGAGGCAGACCTGGGAACCAAAGCTTCTATTCTTCACACCTATCTGTTATCAACTATTTTAGTATCTGTGCAAGTCAGAAATCCTTATCACTCCTGGAAACCCCACACTTCACTATGACAGCTCCAGTTAATAGTGCTGTTGGGTATTCCAGCTGAAGATATACAGACAGGATTTTTTCCTACCATAAACCAGATAAATTATTTAATGAAAACAGGTTTTGACACAAGGGACCATACAAACTGCTCTGTAACAAGGTTAGACCACCTAGAAAAAGCCACTCTGAAAACAAATGGTAAACTGTAGGCTTTACTTTCTCCATTCTTCTTCCCTGCTCACTTGGAAGGTAAAGATTAAAGCACCACCTGTTTGTCCTTTTGCTGGCTTCTGTCTCCTGCTGGCCACAGTCTCCATGAATCATTGTCAATAACATCAGCAAGAACAATTTCTTTTGTCAGCACATTAACACCAAATTCGATCTAAAAAGACAGTAAGAATCCTATTTTAGTAATTATACACTGCTATTTTTCCCTGTCAAAAGCAAGATCATGAGAAATTAGATTCTTCTACCTTCAGGTCTACAAGAGTGCAGTTTTGGGGCTGCCATGCTTTTTCCAGGATCTCAAAAATGGCTTGAGTAGAACGAGACATAATGTCCACTTCAGTCTGGCCAATTGTAAGTCCAGCAAAACAGAATTTTGCTTCGATTATTTGCTCTTCAGACCACTGTGGATCATTATTAGCATCATCCTGTTAAGAAAACCAGAACAAATACATGATGTAATTTAAGGTTGCTATAGGAGGAAAATAGCCATTAAAAGATACAAGGTTTTGTGTTTTTTCCTAAGTAACAAATAGAGGCTTCAAACTATCATTTTATGATTAGCATTAAAAAAATGACAGTAACATTGAAAACACTTGCTGTAAAACACCTGACCATCTTTAAGAGTAACAGGGTACATCACAAACACTTTCGATTATAGCTCACCAGATAAATCTATAAGCACACATTCCCAAAGGAGTTCAGAATCCTAAAGGACTAGCTAGCTACTTACCCTCACCATACAACCACTGTTTAATTTCTTCAAATATATCAACACATCTGTTTCAGCTGATGTATTAAGCTTATGCCTAAGAAGCCCTTATACCTATATTTTTGTCATTTTCAGTACAGCTTGGTTTGTTATTCTTCAATTGTACTGTAAGCCACTACTGTATGGACATGGGACAAAACAGCTTTTGGAAAAGAATGCAAGAAAACATCAGAATGGCAAAACTACTGAGAGTAAGAGGATTGGTCAGCCACTAGCACTACTTGCTTTATCTGTCAGCATTTTAAAGGAGATGATACAGAATTTTAGCTCTGCTTAAGTTTGATTAACATCACAGGAAAGGAAACTTACCTTGAAAAACATCTCAATTTTGGGTGGGTAAAACTTGTATCCTTCTTTGACACCAGGGTTTCTCTTGAGGAAGGAGCCAGTAGCAATTCTTCTGCACACCCATTCAATCGGGATCATTTCACAGTGAGCTGCTATGAACGCTGTGTCACTCTGTTTCCTGACAAAAGCTGTTTTGATGCCTAAATGAAAAGACAGCAGCTTAGTTCCATTAGTAAGCACACTCCACAGCTAGAATAGTAGTCACAAACATCTTTAATTTTAAGTACATCTGAATCTTGTCCTTCCCTTGACTTAAGGGACAAATCTTTTCATGGTATTTTTGCCCACTCCAGCCTTGCAAAAGACAAGTATCTTCCACAAGTCATTAGTTTTGCCAATTTTATCATACAAAAATAACTTTTAACTCAAATCCTATTTTTATAATTCTGTTCACAGAGCCTTAAAAATTAAATCTATCCTTCACAATGTTTTTGTTTGTTTAAAAAAAATAGCAGCAACCAAGTACCCAACCATGTTCTCTGGTGAAAGATTCATTATAGATTGAACAGTAATTGGAGCCTTTCAAAGGAGTAACAGAGCACAGCAGTCTTTACAGCTTTGCTTAATAAAAGCAGATGGGGCAGAGAGAATGGCTTTGTTCTCCCTTTCATCACAAACCAAGTTATTTAGGACACTAGATCTCGGTGATTTATTAGGCAAAAGACAGATTGAGAATCATGTGCACTCAAACCTGTTGCCACAAGTTAACCTTCTTAGATAATTGTAAGATGATGGACTACATATTAAACAGGGACAGCCAACATGCAGATCAGCATCCCAAGTGCAAAATGGCTCTTTTTTCAATTTCACTCTTGAGGAAAGTCCCACCTTTCTCCCTGACTGCTGCAAGTAGGCAAAACCCTACAGAAGGAAGGCCTTGTAAGATCATGGCTCAGGCCTCTTACTTTGGCTAAGTAGAAAAGGACTATGGGAATGTGACTCAGCTGAGTTAGAGGTAGAAAAACAAATTATATAACCATGGTCTGTTCACATCATGGGTTATGGTGGTTGGTTGAATTATGTTTGTTATGATTTAAAACTATGTGGCTGACAATGGGCTAACTGATTAAGAAAGCCTGGTTTTTGCCAAAAAGCAGCTCTGCTCTGCACCTGCCTGGGGACTGTGTCGCATACCTGACCAGGGCAAGACAACTGCCAAGCCCAGTCAGCATCTGCCAGAAACAGAAGGCAAAGGAGCTGTACTCAGTCAAACCAAGCAGTTCTACTTCATTCCACTTCCAGAACCATTAAGGAAGAAACAAAAAGTCTCAAAATATGAACACTGACTCTTCAAAGTTCAGAGCATTTCCTTCAATGGCAGAAGGATTTAAATAATCGAACGTACATTAAGGCCCCATCTGGTTCACTATGACATTTTTCATCAGTGCAGATGTGTGCTTTTGCTAGGCTGACATTCGCTCTATTCTAAAAGGGAGAGAAACTTTAACAGAACTTCGTAAATCATCACCTCTGAAAGAGCAGGTAAAGAAGAGTTGCGCAAGGCAAACAAGCAAACACCCTCTACAACAAGGCATTCCCACTATCTGCATCTACACCACTGAAAGAAGGAAACTGGAGAAGAACCTCAAAGTTATTTTGTTGCTTTAAAATGCAGCTGCAGTTTACTCTGTGTGTTTTTCCATGGCACCTGTGGAAGTTACCAATACTACTCACTCATGGGTTTCTGAGAGGTCAACAGAATGGCCTCTTGTTAAAAGCACACACATCTGTAGGATATGAAGTATTTTGATTGTTATCCTAACTATCACCATTCAAGAATTGGGCAAAACATCTTACTAATTGCTCCTAAATGAAAATTAGAAGTTTTAATTGACTGCAAAAATAATCAAATACCTAGGAGGCTTCTTAGTAGTGTATTCACAACAGGCTTCCCAAGAAAGCCTGTGACTGGGGACTACACCAGTCTGTATTTCTGGTATGTATTTCTGTGTAAAATATGGGCTGAGACAAAGCTATAACTCTAGAGAAACCATCCTTCTCTTTCTCATACGAGCCATGCTAGGACTTCACAGTTAGCTATCACCACACCTTGTAACAGATACTACAAATTCTAGAGTAACTCAGCTGGTGCCTGAAGCATTCTTTGAGCGACTGTTCCAAAGCACCTGGAGCACACAGTTTATAAGCAATCTTAGCTAAGCTTAGTAGTGCCTGTATTCCAGTCCTGTTAGCAGACTCACCACCAGCACGAATTCCTCTTTGTAACTTGCCAACTACTCAAAGACACTTTAAAATGCTTTCACACCCAACTGAGAGGGGTCAAAGACACTCTAATTTTGTTTCAGCTTACATACACAGATTTCACAATGCCTAGACATAGTGTGGTAGTACCATTAGCTATAAGTGTTCTATGCATGCACATGTAGTAAAGCAAGGCAGATGCATCCAGTCCAGAGTTACAGGTAAGGAAGTGTAGGATATGGAAGATCTGACAAAAGCAGAGGGAAGGGGCTTAAAGGCACGTCCAAACAAGCAGGAGAAACTATTGCAGTTATCTGCAACACTAGATTACTGCAGACACTATCGTGTTCCAAACGAACAAGTCAGTCACCCAGCTCTTAAGTACCAGAGAGAAAAGCATAATTAAAAGCTAATAAAAAAGAGACTAAAAACCACAAAAGCCTCAAGGCAGGTTAAACTCTTTTATAAAACAATACTGTTTTGTAATAACGTCTGAAACATACAAGCATACACACTCTGCCTTTAAAATACTGACCAGCTTCCTGAAGCAGCTGAAACACACAGCTCGTCGTTGTGTTGGAAATGGCAGCCTTCCCTTCCATTCGGTCTTTCCTGGCTGCATTTCCCGCCGTTATTTGGTCTTTTGACTGCATGAGAACACATCCTGGGATATCTGGCAGCTCGTACACTTCTTTCGTTTTTCCTTCATTAACTTTTTTGCCAAGCTTCAAGTCTAGAGGAACAAAAAGTAAAACACGAAAAAAAAAAAAAGTAATTTTTGCATCGCAAAGATTTGTTTACTTCCGCACGCAGAGCCACCCCGACCACGAGGAGCTTCCCGAGCCCCGACCCACGGGGCGATCAGGCCACGTT